TATATATATTACAAATGGGCTATATTAATCTCCTATTGCTGTCAATTCAGTAGCTATCTGTCATACAAAGTCCAATGCACTTGAAAATAGTTTTTTTGTGCCAACCCACGATTTACAAAGACTCTATCATTTGTCTCTCTATGATCTGCAAGCCACAAGCAGACACACGCATTCATGCACAAAACTCATACGAACACGCAAGCATCACTCTCTCATCCTGCACGGAAATKCTTTAAAACAAGAGCTTTGACATTTCTTTGAATTAAAATGTGGTACACGATTTCTCCATCACAAGCATCTCATAAGGAAGTGTGCTATTGTACACACTCCACGGCTACGCAAAAGAAAAAAAAAGGAAAAAAAAAACATTCCCATGAAGGTTGACACATAATGAAGCACTGTGTCATTGTCATATTGCCTTGCCATTAGAAAGAGCACGCTAAAGGTCATTAGAAGCAATGAGTGGGGAGGAGGGTGGGAGTTTAGGTGGAAACTGAGATACACTCATATAGAAAAAAGTTGCAGAGAAAGAAATAGAAACTCTGACAGATGATGAAATAATCACATAGGGGCGTGCAATGATTTACCATTTTAAAATGTTCGTGCCCAGTGATTTTCCTTTCAAGAAGGTAAAAACAAAGCAGTTAACAACTTGCACACAGTTTGGTTCGTTATTGACATAGTTCATTTAAAAGATGCACATGATTTGGCTTTTTCTTTTATATTGAGATTTGCTACAATGCAACATAAAAATCTGTGAWACTGCAGTTCAAAAAAAGTTACATATGCTATATTTTTGATTTGCATTGAAGGAACAATGGGAAAAAAGTGCACCAGATTGTTCTGTTCTGTTACAAGTTTGTCATCCGAGACTCCTCACATCAAAATATGTGCTTTACTTAAACCAGAATCTTAAGATGATTCCAYACTGGCAGCAGGTGAACAATAATGATAGAGGGTGGGTGCAGTGGRAGGATGAGTGGATATATGGCACACATTACTGTTTGAGGACTTTGAGGGATAATGTTTGTGTGAACTTGATGGCAGCTTTTATTGCGGCTTATAAGAAGCAGAAAGTGCTGATGGGCTGTGCTCTCAAACTCATTGTATTAACACTGTAAATCGTAATGTGTGTGATAGGGCGTGCGGTCCAGATTTTCTTTCTTTAAACAAATTTTTTTTACATATTTTTGTTCCAAGTTTGTGCATGGTTTTGTTTAGGAATAGCGGTCGGATTAATTCAATTAGTGACAAATGTTAATAAATAAATAATTTCTACAAAATACGAGTGACTTCCAAAAATGTATTGGAGGGCAACCGCAGCACTCCATTCTCCCTTTTTCTGTTGTCCCAATGTCAACAAACTGTTAGCAATTTACTTGGACATGTCTTAGGTGCAAATATAATCTCACAGAACCCAAATACTAGAAACAAAAACATTAGAAGATGCAAAAAGACCAGCTCTAACAGTGTCATAGAATAGCAACAAATAGAGGACAAGAGAAGAACAAAAACAATGATGAATACTTGTGAATCCATTTTTGTTCTAATCCAAATCCAAAGGAAGTCCATCTAAGCGATTTGTTGTTGTTTCTCTAAACTCACTTACATTTGGCAAAGTAACTAACTCCCAACTTCTCCTCCACCCCTCCTTTTCTAAAACTTTTCATCCCCGCCCCCCACACATTTCAAACGTAGTCCCAGTTGCACCATTCTCCTTTCATTTATCGCTGGAGCAGCAGAATGAGCAGTGAAAGCAGGTGGATGATGGCAGAAGGAAAGTGTTGCTGGGCTGAACCTTTCACTTTCTCGTTTTCTGGCGGGTTAAAAAACCTAGGCCGGTCACTGGTAGGGATGACGAGGCGTGTTCCTCGGGAACACATTTCATCTGCACACGTGCCACTTCCTGATCCGCTGACATCATCACCTACAAATTGATATAGACATAAACATCATTTGAAAATTTTTTTAATGTACAAATTCTGTATACATAAGGGAAAAACTGGGAAGATTATGAAAGCATGGTAGCTTCCCAGTTGTAATATGCAACATTTATGCCTGTTTGTGTTGTTCAACTGCTTGTAATTACAATAAATAAGAAGAAAAAGAATGAAAAAAAAAGAAACAATATGCTGTTCCCTTGTATTGATTTGTCTTACTGAAGTTATACTGTTCATGTATTTTAAAACATTGCCAGATTTTAAAAACCTTCTGGGTTAACTTATCACAAAKCAATAACTGCAATACTTTGCTAAGGTAATTCCTAATAATCTTTTAAATTGATTCTCATCAATAGTTCCAAAAGTTTTCCATTGAACTTTAGCAGTTTTATTTTTTTTCACTGTCTACTGTCCAGTTCTAGTACTTCACAACAATAGCATATTGTACTTTAAAACGACAAATATAGAGGTGTGGAGGACAAAAGAATAAGTGAAGGACCTAAAAAACACCACAGCAGATTTACTGTGTCTAAAACAAATATATTAGGAATATAAAAAAAAAAAAATCAGCAAAGACCTAACAGGGGACCTGGGAGATGACCCATCCTTTAATTAAACAGCTAATCAGTCAAGATTTTACTTAACATTTCTTCAGGAACCACCTCTCTTACATGCAATTTTATGCATCAAACCGTTAAATTGACCATTTTTAACAATTAAAAAAAAAAAAAATCAAAATTAGGAATTTTCTATGCTTGAATGATTCATATGTCAAACTTAAACTCATAAGAAAAAAATGATCAGGTAAATTTAACTGTCCAATCTCCAGCAGYACATCTTACCAAACTAGCTGAAAACCACTTGGAATTTTACAAAACAGTACGGTTCTTTAGAAGCAAAGTATTTTAAAATTTTAAAAGGATGATATAAGACATAAGAATGGCAGCTTATAGACCTGCTATATACTTATATAATAAATCTACAAATAATTCAAAAATAATATTTGGTTTAGCAGCAACATCTTCAAAATTTCTATACAAATTCCCCATTTGTAAGCAACAACAAATTTGTTCTAAAATACATTCTACAGCTTTAATTCAGGAGGTCATTTTATGCTTTCATATTATTCAAAATATCTTTTGTTTTTATTGTTTCAAACTTTTCAAAGGCACAGGAGAAGTAAGCTGCACTCTTAGAGCACTGAGCATAAACCTTTTGAAACTGTTTTTAAAAAGGTTATGAAAACTAGTCACCACTTTTTTATTATTTTATTTTATTTTTTTAACTCACTGGTGTCCTGAAAGTCCACGTCATAGCCATTGAGAGCGTTCTTCAGGCGGTGGGTCATGATCTTCAGCTGCATGATTTGTCGTCGTATCATCATGTCTGGTTTTGTGATGTCGATTTCCACTTCGGGGTTGTTGATCTGACTGGCTAGACCGTCACCCATCACCTCGGGGAGATATCTGGTTCACATAAAAACTTGATTAGCCGGACATATTCCATTTATTCCATTTTATTGTTTCGTGATGAGTCTGTAGAAATCAACATCCACACTGGACGATGAGTGTACTACAGGGAAAACATGTTGCCTGTAGAAACTATGAAGAGAAATATTAATGTGTGTGATTTGGATTTACTATTATGCTGTTAAATGTTCACCAGTGGAAAAAAATACATAATAAATGCCATTTAAAATTCAAAACATCTCACAATTCAGTCTCATATTTATTTTAACTACTGAATTTATTCATGAGCACAATCCTTGAAAATAATTGCAACACGTTTTTCATAGTTCAACAGTGATACTAATACAACACTGCGAGACAAAAATAACATATTAACTCAATCACATTTTGTGTAACTTTGGGGTAAACAACTAAATTCTAGGGTTGATATTTAGTACATGCACTAATATACCAAAMTGTGTATTTAATTAGCAGACTGGGCTGAAACAAATCTTTGTGCAAATTGAAAAGAAAAAAAAAATGTGCTCACTGAGTTTTATACGCCCATTACCATAAAGGTTTTGAGTGCTTTAAAATACTCATTTTGAATCTCTGTGTGCAGATTTGCAACCCTTACCTGGCACGGCTAATGCCGTTCCAACACTTATCCTCTGCCCCTGCACCTTGTGCCACTCTGTCTCTGCAGAAAATGCTTGGCAAAGAAATCCAATGTGATCGCACGTCTTTTAGTTTTGTGGTGACAGTAGACAGCTATAAGACAGAAGTGATGGGAGTTTATTTGTAATACCAACAAAATGTCAACAAGAGTAAAGAGCAAGTACAGCTCCTGTGTTCACTCATCACACTCATTCATCCATGCAAACATTCATTCACTTCTATTCACCCATAACTGTTAGAGCAAAGGTGGTAAGTTCTGTGTACTTTTTGGTCATTAAATTTTCATTTTAAAAACAGATGTAAAAAACAAAAAAAAAATATGGACAGTTATTCTATTTTCATTTTATACGTGAAAAACAGATAATCGGTCTGTTTTATTTTTTTCAAACTGGAAGTTTAATATTGTCGTTATGAGAATATTTAATATGGCGCTAATTAAATAACTTTTTTAATAACAAATGGCTGCCTGTAAATAAACAAATAAACACTAGCTAACTAATTTTGCATTTCTTAAATTAAATGTCTATTATTTATATAGCTAGTCTAGATAGTGTCTTTGTAAAAACTACCCTAAAYGGTCTTATAATGAGATGAATAAACATGTTCTAAGTAGCTAACCAGGCAGCAACTATTTATAAACATTAGCTAACTAGTTTTATTTTTTTAAGAAGCRTCAGCTGATAGTTTGTATAGCACTGACATCAATTCCACTTGGACCCCAAGGCACTTCACACTTCAGACCTTCACCTGCACACACACACATTCACTGTAGTAAGCTGGATTGTGGTCACAGCTGCACTGGGGCACACTGACAGAGCCATGCACCGGTGCCACCGGACCCCCTGACCATGCCCTGGCCAAGGTGGTTTAAGTGTCTTGCCCAAGGACACAATGACTGAAATGGCTGGACAGGGGATCGAACCGGCGATCTTCCGGTTCTAGGATGACTCACCTAACCACTCCACCACAGCTGCCCCAGTGATGATTCAAACTGTTTATTGGAATTTCTGATGCTATATATAATAAAAAAGATGGACCATTTTTTTTCCACTTTTGG